CTGATCTTTGCTCAGATTTACCCGGGCTCTGTGATATAACGATTTGTTAAGTAAAGATTTGACAGATTCACGAATATTCCCCACTCTCTTACGCATGATCTGAGTACTGAATGGCTGGAAGTTTGACTCGTGTTGCGATTCCCTCTTCCTTGAACTGTCATCGACGGGAGTATTCCCTTCCTGCTTGGACCTCCTGTTCACAGACTTCGCCGCGTTGTTATATAAGTGGGAGTGTCGCTGCCGGTTAGACTGAGGCTGGTTTGTACTAACAGACTCTGTCCTGGAATGTGCTGCACTGCTGACGTCGTCTGAAGGATTACTCTGAACACCGTGGGACGCTGTCGCCTTCGGAAATAATTGCCATGATCTTTGAAAAATCGGGAATAAATGCCCTGATCTTTGATAGCTACTTTTTAGCTGTATCTCTTGAGATCGCTTTTGATCCCGTTTGTTTCTGAGGACTGAGTCCATGCTGCTGTCTTGTCCGATGACTCCATTTTTCCGCCTAGAGGATGAATCCATTACTCTTTCATTGGTTGATGGGTCGTTTCGGTGCCTGTCATCCGTCGGATGGGATGATCGCAAAGGCTCGAAACCAAGGACTCCTGACCTGCTGGTTTTACCCAATTTCTTAGCCAGCATCAGCGTACCTTTGACATACTTACTCTTGCGCATAGTATTCGATTCAGAGTTCTCAGTTTCACTATCCGTACCCCTGTGTTCCTCGGAAGGTTTGGACACAACATAGTGAGTTGAAGAAATATTGCTGCTTGAGGGACCATGAAACTTCTGGGGTGACGTAATCCTTGATTTGTCAACGAAAAATGTTTTTGGACTCATATGCTGAGTGTCAGAACTAGGAATTTTCACGTTAAGTTTTTTTTTAAATGTTTCTACCGACCAGTCTTGTAACTTCCCATTTTCGTAACCGAAAAGCATGTTTCGTACATCATGTTCAGTTTTTAAAGTGGGTCCACGAGTATCCTGGAATTGTACAGATAGTAGGCGGGATTTATTGGATTCGGATAAACCCTCAGTTGAACGTTGCACGCCTTTTGTATGCCCTTTACAAGTTGAACAGTTTCCGGGAGATTTATTATCCATTTGCCAAACAGATGAGAATTTAAATTTTAAATATTTCGACCATTTCAGGAAACACAAGGCGGGTGTACTGCCAGGAAGTATTTATTACTTACTATTAGCCCGTCTGTTTCTCCTTTATACTTTTTATTTCAAAGTGTGTTGTAGCTGCTTCATAGCATCATCCTCACGTATATTCTAGCTGGAGTTGAATTGCGTTTTCATTTGAGACTGAACGCTATTAGCACCAGCTTTTTAAATTCTTACAAGTGAATGCCAGTTTTCACAGAGCCACGACCTCTCCCAATCTCTTGGACTGGACAACTATATCAAGGGTTTGAGGAGGAATGCATTGAATGGCTTCAAGGATATCTTTGGGCCTGGTGACCGCTTTCCAGTAGGTGTGCTGGTGGCACGTAAAATTTGTCACAGTAAAATTCTTTTGATGCTTGCAAATTAGTCTGGTTATTTTTTAAATCTGATATATTCTGAATTTTTACCTTTCCTTCAAGAAATTCAAAATCTATCACAATCTCTACCTATTGTTATTACTACCGCTATCAGTTCCTCTCATTTCAATTGATTACCGTCTGTGTTAATAAAGAGTATTTTCTGTAGAGAAAGACAAAGACCTTTTCCATGACTTCTAAACTATTTTGAGATTCAGGAAATAAAGACTTTGAAATATTCCATTGTCAACGACAGAGCGATAGATCTAATATAAGTATTTCCTTCGAAGGCTTCACCTCATCTGAACAAGTGTCTCTTTTTACTTCAGCCAGGCTGATCAATGCTACTCATGATCCACAATAGTCGCAGCAATGTCGCCATGTTGGCTTTTGAGCAAATTGCGTTCAGTATGTTTGCACGTCGTAGCACCATTCACAAGCCTTGATCAGATAGCAAAATTGGAATTTTTCAGACTACTCCCTCCATTTTTCACACACACACACACACACACACACACACACAC